GAATTGTCAGAGTTGGAAGGGACCTTCTAGAGACCATCCAGTCCAACCCCCCTGCCAAAGCAGGGCTGCCCAGAGCACATCACTCAGGAGCATCCAGGTGGGGCTTGAAGATCTCCAGAGAAGGGGACTCCACACCCTCCCTGGGCAGCCTCTGCCAGGGCTCTGCCACCCTCACCCCAAACAACTTCTGCCTCCCATTGGAGTGGAACTTCCCCTGCTCCAGCTTGTGCCCGTTGCCCCTCGGCCTGTCCCTGGCAACCACGGAAAAGAGTCCGGCTCCATCCTCCTCCAACCCACCCTTGAGATCCTTGGGAGCATGAAGAAGGTCTCCCCTCAGCCTTCTCTTCTCCAGCCTCAAGAGTCCCAGCTCTCTCAGCCTTTCCTCACCAGGGAGATGCTCCAATCCCTCCAGCATCTCCGTTGCCCTACGCTGGACTCTCTCCAGCAGTTCCCAGTCTCTCTGGAACTGGGGAGCCCAGCACTGGAGGCAGGATTCCAGTTGTGGCCTCCCCAGTGCAGAGCAGAGGGGGACAATGACCTCCCTCCACCTCCTGGCCACACTCTGCCCTACGCAGCCCAGGATCCCATTGGCCTCTTGGCCACAAGGGCCCATTGCTGGCTCCTGGAGAGTTTACTCTCCACCAGGACCCCCAGATCCTTCTCCTCAGAAGTGCTTTCCAGCAGGTCCATCCCCAACCTCTACTGGTGCCTGGGGTTCTTCCTCCCCATGTGCAGGACCCTACGCTTGTCCTTGTTGAACCTCATGAGGTTCTTCTCTGCCCAGAACTGGAGGCAGGATTCCAGTTGTGGCCTCCCCAGTGCAGAGCAGAGGGGGAGAATGACCTCCCTCCACCTACACTCTTCCCTACGCAGCCCAGGATCCCCTCTTGGGCCACAAAGATGCTCCCCAAGCCCACCTTTCACTGGTGGGTCCAGCTCCATCTTCTCCTCCTTGGGGCTGGGCAACCAGGGCTGGGTGTCCTCCTGCTCCGTTGCCTCCTCCTTGAAGAGCCAGCCCGAGTGGGCCAGCGGCAACTGAACCGGCTTGTTACGGATGTCGTTCTTCAGCCCTGGGTCATCCAGGAACTGTAGGGATGGGAGAGGGGACGCTCAGAACCATCCCTGGTGGGCACCAAAACCACCCGTCCCATCCCCGGTGGGCACCAAAACCACCCATCCCATCCCCTTGGTCCCACTCACATCGTCCTTCTGCAGCATCCGCAGGATCTGCTTCGTCTCCTCGTCCGTCTCCCTCTTCTCCTTCTTGATGTTGATGATGTGGGAAGGCCCAAAGTCCGACATGTCCACCGTCTTGTCCCAGGAACCTGCTGGGGAGCGGGGAAACAGCCCCATGGGTGAGCCCCGAGGAGGGTGGGACACCCCAAGACCCTTCCAAAAACCAAAAAAGAGGGGGGAGGAAGGGGGGCAACTCCCTCAACTCCCTTTACCTTTCTTCTTCATCATCTCAGCAGGACCCTGCTCGAAGATGGAGTGGGACTGGATGACCTCGGGCCTGCCCCGACCCCGGCCGTGCCCGTCGCGTTGCCGGTCCCGGTCCCGTTCTTTCTTCTCCTTCTTGATGGTGACATCTTCTCTGGGCCTGGGGAGCAGGGAGGTGGCCCGTCACCCCCATCCCTGTCCCTTGTCACCCCCTCCCAGCCACCTTGGGGTTGGGGGGGGTGGTTTTGCCCATTGAGACCCTGCCAGGGAGGTACCCGCCGGCGAAACCGCCCCCGCGCCCCGTAAAAACGCTTACGAGGCCACTTACTCTTCCTTGATCTTCCTGCTAATTATGTTGGGGGTGAAGGTTTTCTGCGAACGAGAGCAGAGGGACAAGTCGCTGCACGAGCCCAGATCAGCAACAGAAACCAAACTGGCCGCGGGGCTGGAGGAGGCAGATGGGGACACGGCCACCTCCTGCTCCCCCCGCAACACCCCAAACCCCCCCCGAGGTCCCTCCTCGCACCTACACCCCGAAAGGTGGGGCAGGAGATAGGGTCAACCCAAAAAGAGTGGGTTTTGGGGACCCCTTCCCTGGGGTACTCACCTTCTTCCTCCCCCCAGAGAACCCCAACCTCCCCCCAGGTCCCCCCTTCACACCCACACCCCCAACGGTGGGGCAGGAGATAGGGTCACCCCAAAAAGAGTGGGTTTGGGGACCCCTTCCCTGGGGTACTCACCTTCTTCACCCCCCCCAGGGTGAGGGGGGGCTGGGACCTGGTCATGTCCCACACAGACCAGTTGTCCCCCCCCAGGTACCCCCTTCTGGGGTCTCTCCTCGCACCCACACCCCAAACGATGGAGCAGGAGGTGGGGTTACCCCAAAAAGAGTGGGTTTTGGGGACCCCTTCCCCAGGGTTCTCACCTTCTTCACCTCCCCCAGGGTGAGGGGGGGGCTGGAGGAGGGGGCTGGAGACCTGGACACATCCCACACAGACCAGTGTCCCCCCCCGGGTACCCCCTTCTGGGGTCCCTCCTCGCACCCACACCCCAAACGATGGGGAAGGAGGTGGTTTATCCCAAAAAGGGTGGGTTTTGGGGACCCCTTCCCCGGGGTACTCACCTTCTTCACCCCCCCGAGGGTGAGAGGGGGCTGGAGGAGGGGGCTGGGACCTGG